GTTAAAATTTGTTGTGAGAACATGTAAGAACCGGGCTGGTATTATCTCAGTCAACAATTGGAAAGAATCAAATGAGATTGTATGAATGAGAATGTAGTTCATATGATTGAGTGCAAATAAATAGGGAAATATTCATTGATGGGTGTAGAGTTAGAGGACTTTAAAGTGACAAATTAAAGCCCCCAACTTGGTTTATTATTTTAGGTTCTGATACAAAAATGTTAGCCTCTAGGTGGAGGGAATCGAGGGAACTCTAGAGTGAGAGCTAGTATCTTCCCTGCCTAGCTGGTCTTTAGAACTATTCAAACTTTAAATTAGCCAATGTTCTTTATAGCATCTCTAGTAAGAGTAAAAAATATTATTGCTCTTATTTGGCACAACACAATTTGCATACTTTCACAATAAAATTCCTATACTTATTACTGGTTCAAGATAAGAAGAAAGATATTTTCATATTAAGTACTTTTCTTCTACAAAAACTTTAGTTATCTTTTTAAGTTGTTACTGTTTCGTTAAAATATTAGAAATACCAATAAATATTTAAATTTTAAATTCCTACAAAAATCATTTTTAGTTTAAGTAATTATCTTATTAAAAATGGAAAAACTTTCTAAAAACTGCATATTGCATAATCTTCCCTCTGGGTTCGATAATCAGGTCTTAATCAAAAAGTCCTATATTACTTGATAATGATACGTATACTTGCGTAGTATCCCAATATAAATATATATAAATTAAAAAGATAAATCCTATTTTTCTTCAGGTTCAAATTTTTGCTTTTGTTACAAAATAAGGAAATATAAGTGAAAATACCATCAGAAATATTGTTATGCTGTGCATAAGCATTAAGTACGGGATCACTCAACCTTTAAGATTTACCTAAAAAATGCATTCTCGAACATTCAAGGCACCTCAGTATGCTTGAATTGATGTTTGTTTATTGATGTTGACCCCACAATATCAAAATAATGAGAATCACATTCTATTTTTATGACTTGGGAGACTCTTCGGTTGTTGGAGGTCAACCCTTTCTCTCGGGGGTATTGCTCTCTTCACTGAGCCAACGCTTCTTGGATGAAATCTAGCATTTGATTCTTTAACTCTTTGATTTGTTAGTTTACAAACTATCTAGTGCACTCAATATTGTCCATATATCTGTTGTGGGTGTGGGATGCTTTCTCTATTATCTGTAGCATGATCCATGCTCATCGCAACTTTTCTTTTTGAGAAATTTGGCAAAGAAAAATAGGAGTCAACACAAATCCAGAAGAACACAGAGATTTAACGAGGTTTGGCAAAGATGCCTACGTCCTCAAGAGCAGAGCAAAGACTTTCCTTCAATTTTGGAAAAGAGTACAGAATACAGAATAAACCCTAGGATTACAAATAGCATACATATAACCCTGAAATACAGTACGTAATTGTAGAATTACCCATGTACCATACCGCGGGGCGTTGCCCCAGCACCCCCAACCTTTGTAACGAAACTCCCCCGATTGGACAAATTCTTCCGTTCCACTCCACTGGCTTGCTTCGTTCTACTCCAGCATCTGTCTCTCATTTGGTATATGAGCCATACCTAACATATCTCCACCTTGGAGAATATCTAACCCCTTAGGAGAAATACATCATGGAGTTTCATACACACTGAAGTGGGTTGGGCTGTCATGTTGCCTAGCAACTGCAAACATTTAACAAGTGCAAGAAATGCAATAACTTGTTGATAGTAACTGGCTTGGTCAACATATTAGTTGCATTTTTGTCAGTATAAACCTTTTCCAACAAAATATCATCAGAACCAATCAATTCTCTGATCTTGCATTACCTGACATCAACATGTTTTGGTCTCACATGGTACAACTGGTTCTTGGCCAGATAAATGACACTCTGACAGTCATAATGCAACTGAACTCCACCTTGCTCAACACCCAGTTCTTTTACTAGCCCAGCAAGCCATAAAGCTTCTTTTGTAGCTTTAGCTACTGCCATGTACTCAACTTTAGTTGTAGATAATGCCATAATAGACTGAATATTTGATTCCCAACATATAGGCCCTCCACCAAGAGTAAACATGTACTCAGTTGTAGACCTTCTATCATCGAAATTACCTGCATAGTCTGAATCAACGTACCCCACAATTGAAGAATCATTTTGATGACTTACAAAAATAACTCTATGCCCTAAAATACCCTTGAGATATCTAAAAATCCATTTGACCGCTTCCCAATGTCATCTTCCTTGTTTAGACATGTATTTACAGACTTGACTAACAGCATGAGTCAAATCAAGGCGATTACATAGCATTGCATACATCAAGCAACCAACTGCACTGGAAAATGGAACCTTTGTCATGTCTTCGAAAGCTTAAAATGATTTGCCAATGGAGTGCTCACAGACTTTGTTTTTCTCATCTCAAACTTGTTCAACACTTTCTCAACATAGCCTCATTGAGATAAACATAATCGTCTTTAGCATCTATCGCGATGAATCTCTATTTCAAGAATCTTCTTTGTAGGACCCAAGTCTTTCATGTCAAATTCATATCTTAATAAATTTTTCAAGCCACGGACATCATTCATATTCTTTGCAGCAATTAGTATATCTTCAACGTATAGTAATAGAAAAATAATAGAATAATCAACAAGGCTCTCACATAAACACAACAATCATACTGATATCGCTTGTAGCCAATCTGAATAATGTAGGAGTCAAACCGCCTGTATCATTGTCATGGAGACTGTTTCAACCCATACAACAAATTCTTTATTTTGCAAACCAGATGCTTCTCTCCAGGTTGAGTGAATCCTTATGGCTACTCCATGTAAATCTGCTCCTCCAAATCATCATGCAAGAAAGCAGTTTTAACATCCATTTGCTCCAAACGCAGATCCTAAATAGCAGCTAATGCAAGCACTATCCTGATTGAAGTAAGTCTGACCACAGGAGAAAATATTTCATCATAATATATCCCCTTCTGCTGTGAAATCCCTTTGCTACAAGTCGAGTCTTGAACTTTTCCCTTTCTTTTTCTGATACTGCTGGTTTCCTTTCGTACACCCACTTTAACCCAATAATCTTCTTTCCCTCAAGAAGCTGAACTAGCTCCCATGTGCGATTTTTCTGCAAAGTCTCCATCTCCTCAATCATTGCACTCATTCATTTATCTTTCTGCAGGCTGGTGATAGCTCCTTCAAAAGTGGCTGGTTTATCACTGCTAATGAGAAGTGCACAAGAGACCAAGTTTTCATAACCTAATCTACTTGGAGACCTTATATTCACGTGTCTCTCTCTATCTCTGACAAGAGTGTAATTTTGTAAATCATTTGTATTGGAATCACCATGTATTGGTTCTGAACTATCAATCATCTTAGTTGCTACTGAATGTTGTTCCAGACCCATCTATTCATCAAAAACTACATCTCTGCTGATCACCATATGCTTTGCAATCAGATCCCAAAACTTATATCCTTTCACACCTTTCTTGTAGCCCAAAAAGATGCACTTCTTGGATTTTGGATCAAGTTTTGGTCTTTAATCTCTAAGAACATGCATAAAAGTAGGACAACCAAAAATTCGTAAGTGATCAAAATTAACTGGATTATCTGTCTATACCTCTTCTGCAACTTTGTCACCTAATGATGCCCGAGGTGATCTATTGATGAGATAGCATGTGGTATTCACAGCCTCTGCCCAGAAATTTTTAGAAAACCCTGTAGTCAGTCTCAAGCACCTTGTCCTTTCAGTTAAAAACTTGTTCATCCTTTCTGCACTGAAAAATGCCTCTAAAACTTATCCTCACAAAATTTTTGAAATTATAAATCTGTGTACTCTATGTCGTTATCAGATCTAAAATACTTGATCTTTCTGTCAGTTTAGTTCTTCACCTAAGCTTTCCACAGCTTGAATTTAGAAAATACTTCAGATTTCTGCTACAAGAAATACACCCAAACTTTCCTGGACAAATCATCAATAAATGTAACAAAATACAAATATCCTCCCAATGACGATTCCCTGATAATAATCAAGAATCCCTTCAGTTTTGTGCTTTCCAGTCATAAAACTGACTCGAGTCTGTTTTCCAAGAATACATAACTTACAAAAATCAAGTTTGTCGTTTTTAACACCATGCAACAAGTATCTTCTATGCAATTCAGTCATCCCACGTTCACTAAGATGACTCAAACACATATGTCATAACTTTGTATCATCATCATCTAACTCCACAAAATGAACTCCACCTACAACTGTACTCTTCAACAGTTTGTCGATATTACCTAAATTTAACTTTCCTTTCATCACAGTCAATGCACCTTTATCAATTGTGATGGTTTTTGTATCATCATCTGTCTTAGGAATAAAACCATTTTTATGTAAAGTGCCTGTGGAATTCAAATTATTCTTCATATCTGGAATATGTCTGACATCACATAATGGTCTAACAATGTCATCATACATCTTAATTCTGAATTCACCAATACCAACAATATTACAACATCTATCATCACCTAAATAGACTAAATAGACTGAGCCAGATAGACTGAGCCAGAATTAGTTAACTTATATGAAGTAAACCTCGCCCCTGTTAGGTGTTATGTGATAAGAGCTTATTGAATCAAGAATTCATGCATCCATGAACTAAATTGATGAAACTGAAAGCATATCACTGTCACTTCAATCTGAATTATTACTCTGCACCACATTTATAGACTTGGATGATGCATCATGTTTCTCCTCAGTCTGTTTCTTGAGCTTTGGACAATCTCTCTTCATATGACTCGGTTTCTTCGACTTGTAGCAATGAACTGTCTTTTTTTTATTTAAACTTTAATCTAGAATTTTGCCTTCCATACCTCTCCTTCTCTTTCTTCCTTCCACGATCCTAATTACCCTTGACATATAAACTATCACCATGAGAATCTTCTCCTGCATTCTACTTCCGCTAGTTTTGAGCCAACAATGTTGCAGTAATCTCATCAACTTTGATTGTTTCTTTCCCATAAGTTTGAGTAGTCACTAGGTGTTCATCGAAGGAGGGCAATGAACATAACAGAATCATTGCTCGGTCTTCATCCTCAATACTCACATCAAGCCATGATAAATTCGTGATTATGTGGTTGAAGTCATTCACACGCTGCAGCAAATCAGAACCTTCTTCCATTTTCAGCCCATACAGCTTTTGTTTCAGATATAATTTATTCGTCAAAGATTAGGACATAAACTCAGTTTCTGATTTCTTTCATACATCCCCTGGATATTTTACATTCATTGTGTGATATATAACCTTATCTGTCAAGCATAAGCATATGGTTACTGCCACTCATTGTTGCAATTCTTCCCAATCTTCATCCTCCATATTATCAAGTTTCGTAGCTCGCAAAGCCTTGAAGATTCCTTTCTGTGCCAATAAATCTTTCACCCTTGTTTTTAGAAGTTACCAGTTCCTTCAAACTTCATCACCATAAATTTTGCACCATAAATTGCCATCTGAAAAGAATCCTGCAACGAAATTTTCTGCATATTCCTCAACCTGAGTAATCCTTACCAGAAGTCGGAATTCATTCCCGCGAGCCCGTTTGCCTCAGTTGCGAAGAAGAACCCATGGTGTCGAGCAGTCGCGCCTGTGTTCTGCGATTCACAAACTCTTCCTCTCGCCAAACTGCTCCTCCTGTCTACCGCAATTCGTGAATGACTTGTTTGCAAACCCTTGATTGTGGAAGACCCAAAATGCTTGGTGTGAACCCTCTATCGCAAGCCTCTGTCACACGCAAACTTGGTCGCAAAGCTTTTTGTGAATCTACTTTACAAAACCTTTGTCGCGGGAACCTACTCGCAGACCGTTGCGAGCCTCTACGACGCAAATCCCTTACCGAAACCTTTCGTCGAATTCGCCAAAGTAAAATCTCCGAAGCCTTCTTGCGCAATCCTGAATCCTTTGCTGGTCACTAACCCTTTGCAAACTGTCGAAGTCGAATCGCCTTCTTCTCTGAACTTCGGCTTTCTACATTGAAAAACTGAAGCTCTAGCTGCCAAACTCCTCTACCAAATCTTCTTCGTCCCTGTGCTGATTTCTTCTATGTTGTAGAACCTCGCTCTGACACCACTTGCTGAGAAAGTAGGGCGAAGAAAAATATGAATCTACACAAATCTAGAAGAACACACAGAGATTTAACGAGGTTGAACAAAGATGCCTACGTCCTCGGAAGCAGAGCGGCGACTTTTCCTAAATTTCAAAAAAGATTACAAAATATGGAATCAGCCTTAGAGTTACAAACAGACATATACATAACCCTGGAGTACAATATGTAATTACAGAATTACACTTGTACCGTACCGCGGGGCGTTGGCCCCGCACCACCAACCCATGTAATGAAACTCTCCCGATTGAACAAATTCTTTTTCTCCACTCCATTGCCTCGCTCTGTTTCGCTCTAGCATCTGTCCCTCATTTGGTATATGAGTCATACCTAACATTTTGGGATGTTGAATATTGATTTGTATGTGAATCACACCCAAGAACTAGAGCGTAAGAAGAGAGAGAGGCAGAGAGGAATGAACAATAATGAATAGTAATTTGTGTGTTTATTGACAAAATTATCTTCCAACTTATAGGGGAGAAGATGCAACATGATTTTGTTACTTTTTTGTCCATGTTTAAAAAGGGTTATACCATATATTCTTGGCATTTTACATGTATGAGTCTACCTCTCGACTGCTCTATGGATTAGTCAGCTGAGCTTGATTGGCTTCGGGTTGGTAGGATTGTTTCGGTCCACCAGGCACGTTGGGATTGGTTCAGCTAGCTAGGCTTGAGCAGTGTTGTCGATCAGCGTTGTCGGTCATCTTCTCTAGTCTCATTGTCGATCCTTGCTAATAGATTGAGGACTTTTTGGGCATCCACAGTATAATTGGAGATGCTGAAGGACTGAGTCTTCCTTCGAGTCTGCTTCTTCATGGTGATTGGCTCAGATGTCTCTTTTTCTTGTTTACGATCGAACGGTTTGGACTCAGATCATTCGATCCTTTTTTTATCATCCTCGTGGCTTGAACGGTTTTGACCTTGCAGCCTTTGGCTTTGCTGCATTCGATCGGATAAATGGGTCTCATATTTTTATGTCGGTGAGCCCTCCCTCCTCGTACTTTTCTCCTCTGGACAGTTACATTTCCTCAAAATCCGTGCTGCCATATTTTTTATGTATAAATATGTTCCACATATTTCAAGTATTTCTGTACATTTAACAATTAATGTTTTTAAAGATTTTAAAGGCATGTTCAATGAAATATATCTAAACCTTGAAAGTGACTTGTAACAAAAATGTTAGAAGATAAAAGTACTGCAACTTTTATAGAAATTCTAAGGGTAGGTATGTCATGTACAAAATGGGTACGGGCTGTTACATGCATACCATACAATTCTTATTTATTTATATATCTAACACTCAAACTTTAATATTTACTTACAAATCTTTAATACCACATAAAAATATTATTATTACTTACTTCTAAAATTTTAAATATATCTTTTAATACATAAATTTATCACCTGAGAGTGTTATTCATATAACCATGAAAGATGAGGCGCCAGATATGTAAATATAAAAGAACTTTGTGGTATGTATGTAAATTTTCACAAACAAAATCATAAAAAAGCTGTGAAATTTAAAATATATTTTTTTTTAGAAAAAATGCTTATAATTATGAGCAATTTCAAAAAAGTTAAGACAGAAAATGCAAGTACCCTTTGTAAAATCCTTAAAATGGATTTGAACTCCCAACCTAAAGAGTCTTGTACCATGGATTGTAAGCAACTAACTAGGGTATGCGGGCGCTACATACATACATATATATATATAGTA